AGCCAAGCAAAGGTTGTTTCCCCCTTTATCACCTATAAAAGAGGAGAAAGCAACAAAAGACAAGGCAGACGACGACATTGGTATGGAGAAAGACAACTTTGATTTAGGGTCTGAGTCAGAGATAGATATCATATGTAATATGATATTTGTGTTGCCTTTAGAGTACGAATCAGTCACAGAAGCAATTGAGGAAGAAAGTCTTGATGAAGAACTAGTTACCCACAAACCTTTGTGTTGTTATGTGATGAATGGCGATTCAGCGAATGAGGACCGAGCCATTTTCAAAAGGCCAGACATGACCATGCAACAACACCTTAAGCCTTTGTACATAAGGGCCAAGGTAAATGGCATGGGGATCAACAAATTTCTGATCAGATGTGGAGCATATGTCAATGTGATGCCCTAGTCCCTCTTGGGAAAGATAGGAAAATTTACCACACATTTAGCCTGTAATAACATGGTGTTGTCCAACTATAAAAGCAAAACTAGAAAACCCTTAGGGGTTATTCAAGTCGACGTAGTGGTCGGAACCACCACAAGGCTAACACTGCTTATAGTGGTGCCTACTAAAGCAAACTACAATTTTCTACTAGGTAGAGAATGGTTTCATGGAACGAGATGTGTACCCTCATTGATGCATTAGATGATCACCATCTAGAAGCCTGACAGGATTATCGAAACCATCAAAGTGGATCAGAGTTTTTCAGAGAAGATGTCAATCACATCGATAGGATTAACTTTGACCAGAAATTGGCTAACATTTCGTCATGTAAACTTGTCGGAGGAGGTTATAACTTTGAAGGACGTGAGGTATGCTACATTATGAACCTACACGCTTAGTATGAGTTTACCTGGAAGTACGAAACCGTCGGAGGATATAACCGATGGTCTGAATTAGATGGAGATCATGATTGATTCAGACACATTGGCTTGGATTTTAGCCTATGTGGATGAAAACAGAATATTGGCGGCCTTGGAGGCCGAATCTCAACAAATACTAGTTGTCTAAGCGATTAAGACTAAGAATTCTTGGGCAGATTAATCTAGCTCCACCGACCAAACAACAACTTCAGAAAGCCGGAGGCTAGATTTTATCTATGATGATGAGCCTTTAGGGTTCGAGAAAGACCCAACAATCTCGACCAAGAAAATGCAAGCGCATGATCCTTTGGAAGACCAGAGAGTAATGAACTTGATGTTTCATGACTTCATTGAAACATTCACACAAGTGTACATTGATGACATTGTCATCAGATCTTCATCTAATGATGGTCACCTCGACCATCTTCGACAGTCGTTCGAAAGGATAAGGATACATGGGCTTAAAATGAACCCATCAAAATGTGCTTTTTGTTTTCATGCAAGGGATTTTCTTGGGTTTGGCGTCCATAAGAAAGGCATAGAGATAAATTTAAACAAGACAAAAACCATACAAATCAATCCTTGTTAGAAAAATTAACTTTCTAAGAAGATTCATTTTGTATCTAAGTGGCAAGAAAAAAGTATTCTCACTATTATTACGAATAAAGAAAGAAGAAGGTTTCAGGTGGGGTCTTGAACATGAACAAGCCTTCAATGAGATTAAGAGGTACCTGCCGAAGCCTTCAATGTTGTTACCTCCCATGAGGAACAAAGCCATGAAGTTGTAAATTTCTGAATCTGACTCGACAATCGGGAGTATGTTATCCCAAGATGATGATGATGGCCGAAAGAGCCATATATTATTTAAGTCAAATCATGAATGATGTTGAGACTACATACACCATGGTAGAAAAATTATGTCTATCGTTATACTTTTCTTATACCACACTCAAGCATTATATAAAATCTTCAGATGTGTTTGTTTATTCACACTTCGACATAATTAAACATATGTTGTCGAAACCAACTTTACATAGTAGAGTTGGAAAATAGGCATTAGCCCAGACTGGGTATTCTTTAACTTATGCACCCTTAAAAGCCATTAAAGGTCATATTGTTGTTGATTTCATAGTAGATCATGCAGTAACAGAAATAGTGCATAACTATGTCAAATTTCTGGCATGGAAATTATGTTTTGATGGTTCCACCCATTCAAAGGGAACGAGCATGGGGATTTTTATCATATCCTCGAAAGGAATTCCTACTAAGTATAAATTCAAGATCAACGACCGTTGTTCCAATAATGAGACTGAATATTAAGTCTTGATCAAAGGTCTTACCATACTATTAGACTTGGGGGCAACTACAGTCAAGATCAATGGTGACTCTGAACTGATAATCAAATAGTTAACAAAAGAATACAAATGTATTAAAGATAACCTGTTAATATAAATTGTCAAGGCAAATTCAATGCTTAAACAATTTGAAATTATGGATATTGAGCATGTGCCACATATAACACACGTCATTTGGCTCTCTTTAGCTTCACGAAACAATAAAAAGTCATCCATAAACATTAAGTGAGAGATCAATAAACATTGTTTCCTCATATGAAGAGTCGTCCATTTTTTTGAAGGAAAATTGCGATCTAAACGCAGCGGAAAACAAAAATTTCCTTTAGTGATCCTTACGAATGAGCATGGTCAGTGATAGAATCGTTACCTCTTTGTGGCGATTCAGATCTTTGATGCAGCGATCACAAGCGTTGATGAAGTGCAACGCCTCTACTCAGTCCACACGAACAGCTTCCGGTCACAGTGCTAGCTGCTTACGGACGGAATTATTTGAGTGAGAAAAGAGAATCAAAAACGAAATTGCATCAAGCGAAAGCTTCATCACAAGGGTTCCTTTTATAGACTCTCTTGTGGGCTGCGGGCTAAAAACCCAATTCACATGATCCATAATAATATTATATATTATTATAATAACTATTATTATAATAAATATATTTATTTTATTATTATTTTATAACCATTATAAAATAACAATAATTTATATTATCCGAATTTCTATTTTTCACTTAAGTGCACCGTACCTTACGGTGTTCCTTTGATTTCTCTATCTCTCATCAAACTGTCCTTATGTGTGTGACCCTGTAGGATTTCGTAACGTTGGTAATTATATTAAATTATATATTTAACATAATAAACAGTAAGCGGTTTCTAGCAACACATCACTGCTACCCAAGTCACGAAAATGTCATGTGATCTGACAAAACCTTTTTCGTGATAATATATGTTTGTACAATTACCCTTTTTGCCCCTATGTCTATATTGAACACAAGGCATACACTGTGTCATCCTTGTCCAGTTCAATATTGGGCCCTTAGACATTTCTCCTGTTATGCAGGATTGGCAAATTCCATCTAGGACACTCATGTCCCTCAGCATGCTTCGTGGAGTGCCCATCAACTGTCTTTATGATCATCCAGTTACGGATAATGTTTGATCAGCAATAAAGCACCCGACTCTACATCTAGGGTCCATAGTGGTTTCAGGTCGAAGGGTGGTAATACACCATTATCACCATGAGAATAACTTATGACACTTTGCATAACATACTATGTAGTATTCTCATAGCGGGTCAATCCGGTATAAATATTACTCCTAATATTTATACCTATGTCAAGACTTGATAACTCTTTATCCATGATCCATGAGATGTGATCATCAGTCTATCTTCATAATAGTCTCAATGCTTTTAATGTTATCCCACTTTGCAATAAAGCTTGACTACGGATATTTTAAGAATAATGTCTTTATGTTTAATGGGATCTCATGATTAAGTCACACTTAACATTTCATTAAACAGACTAACTATTCTAGGGACTTTATCATTCTGAAAGACAAACATAATAAAGAAATGCCTTTTATTATTAAACGAATAATCCGATACAAGTACCAAAAAGTATTGGCCTCTAGGGCTTACACCAACATTTTTGTCATTGACTGTCTGCAATATAGATGGGAAAGTTTTACTATGCACAACATAAACAGGTAAGGAGATATAGAATCTCCTTGCCTAATGCCACCCAACGGTCAAAAGAAATCATTTATGGCCCATTCCACTTTACATTTTTTATGCTTTTGTTACTACATGCACTGTAATGTTTATAATGATGTTTAGAAATATTATTTCACGAAGAACTCGAGATGCTCATGGATACTTAATTTCCATAACCAATTCATAATCATAAATAATTATATGTTATAATTGATTATTCAATTTAATTGTCATAACCGGATTTTATGTGTAAAATGGTTAATAATCAGTTATATACATAATCAATTTTATAATTAGTTTTAATTTAATTTTTTTAATATATTTTTTGCAAGAATATTTTTATTTTAAAAAACTATTTTTTTTTTATTTTAAGAAAAAATGTTTATTTTCAAAAAATAAAAAATCGTATATTTTTATTTTTGGAAAGTTTTGTTTTTTTATTTTCAGGAAAACAAATTCAAAATAAATTTTTTTTTTATTTTTTTACTGGAAAAATTGTTTTCTATTTTTAGAAAAAAATTCTTTTTTTTATTTTTTTTCTAAAAATTATTTTTTCTTTCCGTTTTTTCTATTTACTGGAAAAAATATTTCAGAATTTTTATTAAAAATAAATAATTTTATTTTAGAAGGAAAAAAAAAACTAATTTAGTTTTTATTTTAAATATGAATATCTAAAATATAGATTTAGTTAAAACTATATTAAAAATATTAATTTTATTAAAACTATATTAATAATTAACTAATTTTTAATAAGGAGATTTGAATATGAATATACATAATTTAAATAACTTGTTAATTTGAATTTGAAGAACACACAATAAACTCTTAGCTAACTTTATGGCTTTAGACAAATCTAGCTTGATCACATAGTAGACTCTTGCCCTTCATACTGTTCATGTTGTGCATTGCTTCTTTTGCAACTATAGTTCTCATGGTTATTTTTATTTTCATTTTGAATAAACTATCAATGTGAACTATAAATTATGATTCTCTCTATTTTATATTTATGAACTATTAAAATATGAGGAATAACTTTTAAGTTATTATTAACCCGACATTCTCTTCAACTTTTGTTTTTATTCATACGAGTGGCTTCGCTTTTCAATCCTTACTGGAAAGCCACCTTTCATTAATGATGTAAAGTTGGCAATGTACTCCGGCTCAATCCCTCCAACCATCGCCGGAACCACCCTAAACCGCCCCATTATCCCGGCAACCACCCTCTTCATCTGCAAGAATGCCATATCCTTCCCTATACACACTCTCGGTCCAGCCTGAAAAACCGGATAACTATAATAATCTATCCCAATAAAGCTCCACTTCCCAACCTCATTCCGGCTCAACCACCTCTCCGGTCGAAACTCAGCCCAGTCCGGTCCCCATATTTTCTCAGATCTTCCCATAGCATATACATGATACGTCACTCTCCACCCTTTCTTTATTTCAGTCCCATCGGGCAAAACATCGTCGTGCGCCGCTAATTTAGTATCCACCGGAAGCGGAGGGTATAACCTCATACTCTCGCATAACGCGGCGTGAGTATAAACCATATCCTTCACCTCATCATAACTAACTGTTTCCGATTTTGCAGTGATCTCTTTGAGAATCTCATTCTCGACGTGACTATGTTTAGAGAGTAACCAAAAGAACCAAGTGAGTGCAGCTGAAGTTGTATCTCTCCCAGCAAGAATAAAGTTTATTACAATATCAACAACAAAAGATTCATCTGAATGTCCAGAATTTAAGAAACGCGATAAAAGATCCACCGATTCCAAGGCTGATTTTTCTCCAAGCACTTTTTTCTTATCTTTAACAATTTGAGTGGCGAGTCCTCTTACTTGTGCGACCGCTTCTTTCAGCCGTCGCTCCGTTCCGATGTTCAGGAATTTTTTCACTTTCCATAGTAATGGAATCAACGCGTTTAGTCTCTCGATGCTGAGTTGCGCGCTCTCGTTGAAGGCTTTTGCAAACGGTATTTCAGGAAGGGAAGGGAGGAGATACTCTGGATCGTATCCAAACGCGATCATGCAGATGTTGTCGAAGGTGAAACGTTGGAGGATATCTTGGAAATCAAGAATAGTGGTTTGGTTTATAGAAGCTTCGAAGAGAACGGGGAGGAGGCGATTGGAGAGTTCAACATCAACTACCGTTTCAACGAATTTCCGAAGGGATTTAGTGTTGAATTCGTGGCTGGAGATATGTCGTTGGAACTTCCATGCATCACCGTCGACGGTGAAGATTCCGTCACCGAGTAAATCATTGATGGATTGATAAAACGTGAGACCTTTGCCGTAGCAAGGGAAATTGGTTTTGAGAATGTGTTGCACCACGGCAGGTTGAGCCGTGAAGACTTGGCGGGAACCGAAAGGGCGGTGGAGGACGAAGGTGGAGGAAGGGATGGTTTGGAGAATGTCGGAGATCCATTGCACGCGTCGGTGGAAATTGGCTGCCAGAGAAAAAGCAGAACCGAAAATGGGGTAAGATTTAGGAATTGTGGTGTTGGTGGTAGAGGAAGGTGTTTTTTGGGATTTGGATTTTGTTTTTGTGGCAAAGAGTAAGAACCAAACGAGAGATGCAAAGAAAAGTAACCACAAAACCAATGTTTGGAGTTCCATTTTGCAAGTTTGATGTTATGATTGAGTAGTGAGAGCTACACTTGGCTTATTTCTTCTATGCTCAATTGTGCCAATGCTGCTTTTATAAGGAAAACATGTCTTATAAAATATGTTGGCGTAAACTTTTAGTAATTAAAACTTAAAAGTTGATTCATGAGTCAACTTTTGTTTTACTAAAGTCAATGCCCTTTGCTTGGGTCTGATTATTTTAATGGAAGTTGAGAAGAGAGAAATTGTGAAGAGAGAAGTTGAAAAGAGATATACAACCCAGGAGAGAAAGAGCGAAGAAGTTGCAACGAAAGCGCAAGAAACTTGTAATATTTTATTATTTTACTGATTTAGCCCTTTAATTTGTGTGTCATTTTAAAAAAAAAAATTTAATTATTTGTTTTTTACTGTCTCTGATAATATTGTGATGCACAATGAAAGATAGAGAGATAATTCAATTAAATTTTTGCGAAACTATTTAAAATATTTTTGTGAGTTTTTTATTCTATTAATTAATTTAATTATAATGATTATGTGAAATAAATTAAAAGCTAAAATAATTTTAATTAATAGCTTTTAGTTAAGGGTATTTTAGTAGTTATAAAAATAATATATACTTCTTTCTTTTTCTATTTTTTCTATCTTTCATTTATACCGATCAACATATTAAATCATCTCTATTTTTTATTTATTTCTCTCTTTTCACACTCTTTTCCACATTTTTCTCTCTTCTCACTTTCTTCTCATAGTCAAACACACCTTAAAAGTAAACAAATTGAATGGGTGGTTCTCAATCTCATAATGTCTGAAATAACATGAGCAGTTGTGACACCGGTGGGAATACTACATATGTAATGTCATTGATTTCCCTTAATCTAAGGGTGTACGAGCTTGTGAGGAAGAGGAAACGTGTGTGTTTTGAGGTAACGTGTTGAGATATTAAAACGTTAGTCATTTTGGACATATTGAGTGTTTGAGGGAAAAATGCATGGGTAATATTTAATGCACCTCGTGATGATATTTTTCGAGAAGACAAATCAATTTTTCATATTCAAACGTGGCATCCAGACATGGAGACTTTTCCGCTTCTGGCGCCAACCTATTGGGTGAACTTGTATGCCTACTTCTTTGGGCTTTCTATATATTTTCAGAAGAATTGTTTCACCTCTTCTTCCTTCTTTGGACGTAATTTTTCTTGTATTCATTTTCTCCCTTTCTTCTTCTTTGTGTGAAATTTCTCCTTACTGTGATGCCTCTGTGTTTGGTGGTTTTTTGTATGAATTTCTCTTTTTTTAATGGTGTATGGAGTTTTGTGTGATATGTGTACAAGTTTCCCACTTCAAATATGTGAATTTCTGTGAACGACAGAAAGTGTTACGCGTCCTTCAATTTCCTTACTACTGCCATTTTATAGATGTTTTGGGCGTAGACGAAGAAATGTTAATTTTGGGATGAATTTGAAGTTGTCTTGGATTTGTTTGAAACCTGTCTTGGACCCTGATAAAGTCTTTTCATTTCTGTCTTAACATGTTTGTGACGTGTTGATTATGTGTTAATGAATTTCCTTTACAATAAATTGTGCCTGAGACACGTTTGGTAATGATGATTTGATTGTATTTGAAAACTTAATAACTGCTCTTGATTCTTGTATTCAAATCTCTTTGGTCTATTTTCATCTTATTACCGTCATGAATGTTTGGATTTTTTTAATTTCCTTGCAGCTATCACGTTGGCCAGTCCAGCGGCTTTTCTTCGGAAGTTCCGCTTTGAGAATAATCAGGTTTTTTGGATTTAGGCAGAATTCAAACTATGCCTTGTCACCCTGAAATGGTAAGATGGTAACTCATGCGTTCCAAGTACAATTTTTAGTGAAACTTGCTCCTTGAATTGGTGATAGCACAACTGGAATGTTGTTATCATTAGAACTTGGAATTAGGAAACAAATATATTGTTTTTTTGGTCCATTTACTTCGATTGTGTGATGATATAAAGGGGCTTCCAATTCGATTTAATCTTGATTTTTATGTGACAAAATCTCTTAATTTAGATTGCGAAACTTTCCTTGTTTTCAGCAGGTTTGAGGAGTCACGAAAAAGTGTCGGCAGGGTGTGCAAGTGGAGCATTTAGATTAGTTCGTTTGTACCTAAGTGAGAGTTTCAAGTACTCATTGTTTGCACTCCTGACGGTGTTCTGTAGCAGTAGAAATATTGATTTTTAAGGGTAACTTTGATCTAGATTTGATGTTATGTTTTTGGTTTTAATCTTGATATCGATTAATCCTGATGAATATTTGTGGCTAAATCTTGAAATATATGGGACCTTGCTCATGGTTATTTCCTTGTAAATCTTATGAACTATTGATCGATTACTTTGGTAATGGCCAATAACTTTTGATATACGAACTTATGCATTTTTGGTTCCATACGTGCTTGACATGATACTTGATTTATGATATAATATCTTGTTTTGTAAGTGGGTTTAACGCTATATTGTGCGTTTTTTTTCAATCATGAATTATAATTGTAATGCTTAATTGTTTCTGTCTAGTAATTTTTGCATGTTACAAGTCCAAGGGAAGGATTTTGTTCTTGACTTCATAGTCATGAACAACTTATTTACTTGTATCATTTTCCCCTGCTTAATCCCCAATTCCTTTCACGTTGATTAGCTTAGGATACACCCTCATACTTTCAGGATAGATTCCCGTAGGCTTCCAACACTTAGACAACTTATTTATTAAGATCGTATTCTCCCAAAAGAGAATTAGACATGAGTCATATATGTAGTCGAGATATAATTCTCCTACCCCATAACATGATCGAGAAAGATGTAGAATCTTTTCCTGCTCGAGAGAGGTATATGGCATGCTCGTCGATTATAGATCTGAGTTGGAACCCTTCTCTCAATGTGAAGCAAAGACTGTCTTCCATATGTTTGTGGTGGTTTAAGTCGGGTATTATACTTAAGATGACAACATTTCTTTTCTCCTAAAAATCAATCAACAAACCTCCCCCTGGAACCTTGGCCACAGTCAAGAGTTCCTCTTCCTTTTAGGGAAACTATGAATGCTCTGATTTCGTTCCCGTCAGGATACATAGGCACAAGATGCGATTTCTTGGCGAACATACTTAGAAATAAACCCCTTAGGTCTCTCACCCTTTAGAAAACAAAAATAAAATAATAAAACAAGAGGTTCTTGTAGAGTAGTACAGATGCTTAGGATGCTAACAACTTCCCTGGGTATAACCAGTCCCCGAACTTTAGACTCTCTAACTTTGCATTGCATTGTATACTCATGGGTTATTCAATCTTTTTCCCTTCCCTTGGAAAAATTAAAGACCGATGGTGAATAATGATTTTCGATTTAAGTTAATCAATAGCTTAATATCTAATTCTCACCGCAACAGACATGTCTAAGACTTCCATTTGCTTAAAGCACATGTCTAAGACTTCCCTTTACTCACATTCTCTGACCGAGCCAGCTGCTCTTATGGCCATCTAGACTGAGACTTCCATTGCTCAATTTGCACTCAAGACTTCTTGCTCACGCCCCTCGGACGAAGACTTCTCCTTTCTCAATCACACTAATTGAACAAGACTTTCACAGCTCAAGCACTTAAGCATTGAAACTTATGTAGCTTAAGCATCTTTGCTCAAGACTTGTTGCTTGAATCCCAATGAGATAAGACTTTTTGCTCAAGCACATAGCAGGAGACTTAATCTAAACTACTGAAGGCTCAACAGAATAGAGAACAAGGTGCACATGATACAAGTATCAGAGGTACGGAAAATCACCATAACAAAGACCTAAAGCTCTTAAGAGTTGATAATTTCTACATATTTCTACATGATACAATTACAACCTAAAACATAAAATCTACATATTATATTAGAGTTGATAATTTCTTGATCTTGCTACTCCTTCATTAGAAGAATCCTTATTAAGATTCAAACTTGAATCTTCAGCCATATATATAGCCTTTTCAGAAACTAGCCGTTGAGGAAGTGACTTGATCAAGTGTCTTTGCTTTTACTCCATAGCATAAGAGACATTGATGATGGATGCACAACAAATTTTGAATCCAATGTTTAATGCATTTAACCTTTGAGTCTACAAGAGGTTTTGTACTGATAGAGCCGTTGGGAGCAGACGCCCGTAGAGCATGTTAACCTTTATTGAGCCTTGAAATCTTGTAGACTCTAGCTGACAAGCTGATAAAACAATACATCTTTCTTTTTGCAGTACAGAAAATCCACAACTTTATCACCAACTCTGAATGGTACCAGATGTTGATATACAATTACCAAGTGTACTTGATACAAGTTTTGTTCTTTCAATCGTGAACCAATATCTCTAAATCACGTTTTTACAATAATTATTTTAATTAGAAATAGTTAAAAACCAGCCCTTAAACAAATTTCATTTAACCAATTAACTATGGCTTATATGTGAGTACCATCAAAACGACGATCCTCACATTCTAACTTCTAATATATATAAACTAAAAGTAGGAAATAAACAAAAAAACTTGGAATGAAAGAACCTGTAATACAAAATTGGTACAACAAAAGCTTACAAATAAAATCTAAAAAATTAGGCCGGTAGGATTAAACTGCTAACAATTTAAGAGTACAGAAATTAATTCTAAAACTGATTTTTAATGTGCACTTATCACTCAGTGTGAGTAAATAAATGATTTTACAAAACTGATTATTTCTGCCTAATAAAACTTTAAAAACTTGGATAATCAAAACTGAAAACTAAAGTGCTATTTATAGAGAAAATTTTTGTACTGGTAACTACTAGAAAGTGAGAAAAATGATGGAGAAAATGAGGGAAGTGGGAGACTAGTTCTAAGGAAGTGGGGCTACCAATGTGGTTTTGCCGTCCTGACGAGCGTCGGCTGGGGTTGACGGGTGTCAGGCCTTCAATTTTCATAATCTTACCTGGCTAACGACCGTCAGGTCTTCAAATTTTGATTTTCTTGCTTCTTTTTTTTGCCGCTTTCACT